ACGAGTCGTTGTAACTCCTCGTAACATCAATGCCGCTCTCGATAATCCGTCGTGAACGGGAGCGAATCGCGCGGATTACACCGTACGGTGCGCGAGGGGCCGCGTTCGCGCTAGATTCTCGCGCGCGCGCGCGATTCGCTTGCGCGAGAATACAAGATTACAAATTTGTATCGCGACGATACCCGTTGCCGCGGACGCAAGGCAGCGATCGGATTAAGACACGACCGGGCGAAACCGGGCGATTTGCGACGAGCGGATTATTACGCGGACGTGCACGAAAAAGAAAACGAGACGCGCGCAGCGCGAGACGGTCAACGTTGTAAATTAACGTATCGAAATACTCGTCACTATCCGGGTAGAAATTGAGAACGGCCGCTGAAAAAGCCCTACACAGCTTATCCCGCTTCTGCCTAAGCTCTGCACGGAGAAGACAAATTTTGTTAGAACAGCAAAAGTTTGTCAATACGGCGACAGCAAGAAACAATTTGTCGTTAAAATTCTAATTGCATCAAACGTCGATCCCGGTGTGAATTCCTCATTAAACGAAACAACGCTGATGAATATATGAAGCTTAGAAGTTTATTAGCTTGTAAGCGTATCATCCATAGAGATATAAGAATAGAGGGAACAAGCCTGTGAGTGGAAGTGATAGAGGCAAAGAGAGAGATGGATGCCGAGTGTCCTATCTGTCTCTTTCTAGTCACGCGCTGGGATTGGCTGCCGCGCCAACGACGATATAGCTATACATTTTTCTCCATCCAATTCAAAGAAACTGTCATTGCTAAAATGATCACTGCAAATATATGCTGTTTTCACTTCAAAATACAAAGGTAGTTGAAGTATATTCAACCATTTACGCCTTATATCTACATCCTTCGGTAGCCTACAACATTTACATATTTTTTTTAATGTAGAAAAAAATAACATATAATTATTTGAGGTTACGTATCTGTACTTTCTTACGAGTGAAAACTGCGGTTACATCCAGGGTAAGACTCCGCCTTGCATTTCAAACAATGCCTCATTTTTAAACAGATCGCGTCCAATTATTATTTTGTTAACGTTCGAATATTTAACGAATTTTAATTCTACACACATATGCACGCATATTTACAAAACGAAATTTTAGTCTGCTCTCTCCCCTCCTGACGTCGCGTGGTCGTCTTGGTGGCTCATTGTAACAACCAATCACAGCGCTCGACTAGAAAGAGACAGATAGGACACTCGGCATCCATCTCTCTCTCTTGACCTCTATCACTTCCACTTACAGGTAGCATATATCCCTTGTTCCCTCTATTCTTATATCTCTATGGTATCATCGGTTCGAAAATCGATTTCCCTATTGAAAGAATCGAATTCGTGCGAGACAAACGAAAACTGATCGATTAGAGATCCGGTTTTTCGAGGAGAAAGATCGATTTTCCGAAAATCGAATTAAATTCACCCGTCACTGCTCGTCACGCGAAGTAATGACAGAATCGAGCAGATTATCGAACTTCGAGCGAAACTCCTTTATGTGAGGGGTCATGTCGCGCGCGCGTGCAGTTACGTAACGCGGGATCGATGTCGCGTTTAAAATCGACCCCGTCGTCGCCGTTTGTTCCCGCCGGGAATAGAATTTTCGCGCGCGTAAAATACGCGCGCCGCAGCTCTCTCTCTCTCTCTCTCTCTCTCTCGTCATTAATAACTCACGCGTAATGAAGAGACTATGGTAGCTCGATGTGCAGGCATATCTGGGGCGAGCGACGACGCAGGAATGACGGGAAGAACGAGAAACGATCTCGTGCTGCTTTAGTCTGGTTGGGTCTCGTCTCGTCTCGCGTTATTAGTGCGAGCTTCATCGAGCAATGAAGCGTCGGAATTGTCGGGGGTCGACGAAGGGTGACTCTAACGGCGTCTTTCTCTCTCTCTCTCTCTCTCTCTCTCTCTCTCATTAAAACGCGAATACTCGACTTAACGGTTAAGTAAATACTTCCTGTGCGGAGAACGAGCGGCGTGGCCGATCGAGCGAAGGGCTCCGGGACGATTTACGGTGAACGCATCACGGCGTACGCCGAGTACGTCGTCAATGTGTAAACCTAAACATTTTAGCTTACACATATTCAGAGGAGTTCATTACTCGTTGCAACCTTTCGATATTTAGCGGTAAATACGTCGGTTACAAATCCCGTCGTTCGGCGCAATTCGCGGGGCCTCACTGTGCGAATAGTTCCGTCGACTATTTGGGTTGGGATTTAAACCAAGCGGAACGATATGTGATATGCACAAAGGGTACAATATTTAAACGATTAAAATGCAACGAATTAAATGAAATAATAAATTGAATTAAATTTCAAACACTTTTATCTATTCAACGGGCGTAATGCAAGTGAAGGGCCGATAATTTTATGATTGTAGCAGTGCAGAGTTGCAAATAAAAATTATCAGGATAATAAGATATAATTACCTGTTACGGTTCTGTTTCGGACCTCTTTTCATATGTATGCGGAAAATCATAATTACGAAGTAAGAAAAGCGAAACGTTCGAATTTGTATTATACACCCGTGTATGCGCGAACACGGAAAGTGTCATCCCATTGCTTTATTTTCCCTTTTCACGGAATGTTATAAAACTTCGAAGAAAGATTCGAATTGGTACGATCTGAAGCGAGTATTTAAAAAGCGAGCAAACGTACATCTCGCTCTGTACGACGAGGCCGCCGTCGCCAGCTGATCAAAGTAAGAGAAACTCGCGGGCAGTGTTTCGTTCTCGAGTATTTGGAAAGAAAGCAGCGTGAGCGCGCGTATTGTGTCTTGCGCGCGCGCGCGAGACAGAAGCGAAATTCATAATTACGGCCGGGGTCGATCATGTCCGGCGTCGTCGGTGCACGGGGGGAGAGGGGGGTCCGCGAAAGTCGTTAAAAGGGAGGAAACGGCAGCGGGCGCGCACGGCAACTTAAAGCGAAACGATCCCGGGTAGGACGATTTCTATCGGCGACGACGACGAGAGAGAACGTTCCCCGGCTTCTCTCGAACAAAGCCCGTCGTCCTCGCGCTTAACTGCGCGAGTCGCCCCGCGTTTTCGGGAGCTGCAATCCGGCGGTCTCCCCCTGTCCCCTCTTTTTCGCTCGCTTGCCGCCTCTCTCTCTCTCTCTCTCTCTGGAGGGTAGTCGAATGCGATCACGGGGCCAACGTCCGGCCCGAAATCGTTTTCGGGGACGGAGAGTTCCGAGCGCGACCGTGTCGTCGTCGTCGTCAACGTGCAAACAAACTTCGCAACTTTCGCAGATTGCGGATCACGCAATCGGCTCTTTCTCTCTCTCTCTCTCTCTCTCTCTTTCGCAGGGTGGCCTCGCGAATACGTGATGACGGAGATTGGATCGGCGGTTTAACGCTCGTGTCCTTACATTTCACACCGAGAGATCGATTTTCCCTTGCGAACGCGGCTCCTTTGCTCGCGATCGGCTCCACCCGGCCCCGTCGGAGACCGCTCGGGATGAGCACGTCTAGGAATGCGGTGCGTGATGACACCCTCGCTGAGGGCATTTGTTCGCGAACGAAAAGACAAACGCGAGGTGCAATAATGATGTCGATGAGATACGCGAGAGGCCAGGGAGACAGAGCGAGATAGAGAGAGGGAAAGAGAGAGAGAGAGAGAGGGAGGGAGGAAGGGAGGGGGAAGAGAAGGGTCCAACGAGTAGTATCGCGTAGCTACTTAGAACTTTCGGAGCTTGTCTTGTGTCCCTACTAGTTGGCACCTTGCTTACTTAGCTCAGGTCTGCGCAACTTGCCTTCCTTCTCCCCCAGCTTCTCCGTTCTACGTTTCCTCCCGAGCCCTCCGCACCCTCCCAACCCTTTTCCCCGTCCTCCTCGTTACGTCCTCTCCAACCCCCCGCTTCTCTCGGGCCCGTTACCCCCCTCCCCCGCTGCCGGTCGGTGGCTTAAGTCGAAGTTTACCTTTGTTCCCGGCTGTCAGTCCGATATAGTTTCCGGCTACTATCGCCGCTCCCGACGCCGGTGCATCCGCTGCTGTGCACACGGAAAGCCCCCGGTTGTAACGATATTAATCCGCTTTAACGGTGCATTTTGAAAAGGACGATAATCGGCGAAATCGTTCGCGAGGCAGCGCGATGGCGAATTTTGCGAGCGCCGCCGCCGGTGCCGCGCGACAGAAATTACTTCGGTATTTGGTTTGTAAATTCACATGCCGGTATATTCAAATAGGCGGCCCGCGATGGTTTATACCTTTTTCCCGGAGTGCAAATCAACGTAAATACAGCCCGGCGAGGAAGAACAGCGGGGGATCGCGTAAGCACCGGCTCGCGCGCGCGATCCGCGTGTTCCAAACAGCCGCTCGGGCCTGTTACGAGAGAACGAGAGAAATGTGTCGTTCTTTTTTTCCTCTCCCTTCCTTTCTCTCTCTCCTTCTCTCTCTATCCGGCACAGAAAACCGAACGGTTTCGCAGTATGAATTTCATTTAATGCAACGCTCGCGACGATTTTTCACAATGATAATTCTTCCCCGGTCAAGCAACGTTTAATTGGTGCACGGTTTAATATAAATTGTTCGTGCACGCGCGTATGTGTGTGTGTGCGCATGGAAAAAAGGCACAGGATGAAAAGAGAGCTCTTGAAATATTTTTTTTTTTTAATTTTTTTTTCGAACGTTGTCACCTGACGGGAAACGAAGCTTTTTCGCGCACGATTCTGGAGGACGGATTGGTTTAATAAATAGCGGATTGCGCGGCTGGTAATACAGCGACACACACACATATATGTATATATGTGTGTATATATATCTATCGCAAATTACATTTCTGCTGATTTCAATTTGTAAGTGGTGTGAATAGATGAAGTTTACGAGGCACTGGGAATAAAATATTTCGGGGCGTTCGCTCGCGTGAAAATGTAAAATCGAAAAAAATTGCGCACGTACATAACGTAAATCTGCAATTCTTCGAACGAGAAACATCCAGGGCACGTGAAAATATTTAAAACTGTTTCCCCCGTTTATGTTTCAGGAAGGATAAATGCTACCGATGCATCGTGATGCACGCGCAACACACGAACGTGCTGCAGTACAAAGAAAGTAAGCTCTGTGGGATTATCAATCAGCGAGATTTCGAAGTTAGGGACGAATTCTGAAAAAAAAAAAAAGAAAGAGGATCGAAACGTCTCTACAATCATGTATATTTTCAACTCACAGATTAATGAAAACCGGGATTTGCCAAATTCCTTTTTCTGCGCGCTCGGTAACCATGATTGTTGCAAAACGCGTTCTATATTTCACTTTCAATACATTATCATTGTTCTGTCGCATATATTTCATCATTGTTACACACTGCGTGCCATTTGAGGGGATGCCGAAGTTGATGATCAACTTGAGAAGCGTCGATAATGTAGAAGCTCAAAATGTACATCGAGAGAAAAAAAGATGTAAAAAATAAGAAATGAAAAATATTTATTCAATCGGTGCTAATAACATATTTACTTATACTAATGCACATATTTTTACATTGAGAAACAGTTTCTTTCTCGAATAAGAAAGTACACATTTCCTGTTTAAATCTGTAACTTTGCGTTAAGGCAATTGCTTATTCTGTTTAAATAAAAGAATTCAGATTTAATTAAATGTGTTGTTAGTACTCGTTAAATAAGAATTTTTTATTTTTTAGTTTCTTTTTCTCTCAGTGTCAACACTGACTCGTCCTGCTTTTCTTGCTTTGTTTCTTGTACACATAATTTTACATAAATGTAAGCGCGAAAATGCGAATGCAATGAATGCGTTCTGTTTCACCATATCTAACGAAAAATCTAAGCGAGATATGTAAACATTTTTCTACAAACTTTACGTATCATTTTACGTCTTTAAATTCGACTGATAAGTTATAACAATATTTCTTGACATTTTCCTGATTGAAGCATTGACGCATTCGGTATATACACGAGCTGCGGGATTTCTTTGTTAATATTTACGTTGACTGGCAGCTGGAGAGATGTCAATTTTTAAATTTGTAATCGTTTTCGCACAGGAAAAAAGCGTTAGATTGATATTACTTGATCCAAGTGAAATATTTTCCAAGTAAACTGTCCAAGTTAAATGTTAGTTGATCCAAAAAAAAATTACTTAATCGTAGTAAAAATTTGCTAAGGAACGTTGGAATAATTATTTACTCGTCATCCAGCATTTTTTCGTGCAAATATTCCAATTCATTTTCGCGCGTACTTTCACAAGCGTGCGAAAGCTTTTGCGATTCTAATATGGCCGATGCGTGATAAACCTTGCCGCAGGAAGAAGTCGATATTTCTCGCCGACACACGGGGAAAACAAGTTTTACTGGAACAGCGAATTATTTGTTGATATAGTGACAGCAAAAAAATTTCTTATACGGAAAATATAATTTTGCTGTTGCAGCAAAACGTCGTTGCAACAGCAATGAAATTTAATTGGCATAATCAAATAATTTTACCATCCATATATCCAGCGAATTTCAATGAATACTTCTAACGAATCTCTCCGCTGTTCAAACAAATGTTTTCTGCTGTCACTGTGTTAACAAACAATTCGCTGTTCTAACTAAACTTTTCCCTCCGTGCACGTATTCCAAACGTGGCATCCCCTCCCGAGTCGAAATTTTGACGCTACTCTGACGCTCTTAAGGATAGTTTGCGCCCACTTAAGTGACCTGTAAACTAATGAGAACCTACTTTGACGATATATCGATACTTTTTAACTTCTCTTTCGAACCTTCGATTCTACAAATTGAATTTTAACGCTACCCTCGTCATTCTATTTTAACGCTAAAACATTGAGAACGGAAATAAGACATCGTCAGGATCAAAGTAGAGATTATATTATATTATTAGAACTGAAATTGAGCCTATTTTGCTATCCCGGCTCTCACAACGTTGCAGAATTAAAAGCTTAACATAGGGCGGAAATTTCGACTCGAGCTTGATATCGCGATCGCCTTGGGTGTGTGTGTGTGTGCGTGTGTCACCGTTCCGCGATTGTTATTAGCTTATTGCACGAGCGAGTCGCCGGAGCCGAGTCTGCTGGGCAAGTGCAGCCTGTTGACCAGCGACGCCACTCTGATCTCCCTGTTTCGCACCGGTGCGGCGCCGCTGCCCTGTCCCATTAAGGGTCCCTTGGAGTTCACCTACAGCCAGGGCGAGGGCGAGTGCAATTCGCCGCGGTCACGGGCGGAAGCGTGCACGCAAGAGTCGCGGCTGCTCCTGCGCTATCAGGCGTGCGCCAACGTTCATTCGTCTGAAAGCGTCGGTCAGTATTTCCTTCTCCGGGCGACCCGCATCAGCCCGGGTCCTTTTGCACCACCCGAAAGAGAGGCCACGAGAAGAGAGTCGTCGAGCACACGCGGTCTTTCCTTGCGTTTTCACCGATCTTTTTCCCCTCCCTTCGCTCTCGACGACAATAGACATACCAGCGGTGTGAAACGATAGCCGCCGGTGGCAGGCCGTTGCCCATTGTGCGTTGCTCATTCACACACGTTGATTGCCGTTACACCTGTTTACATACGCTCACAATTTGCCGAATGAATACCGAAACAATTATGAATTATGCAACGCGCGTAGTTCAATCACCGTCCGTTGTGACGTTTCGCCATTGGCGCAAGATAATTAATTCGTATCGCAGCAATCTACAATTATAAAGCCCGTCCCCGTTATGTCCCGATATATCGAGGCGAATTTCGAAGTAGGCCGGATCCCCTTCGCTTCCGTTGCACGGTGATATACTTGAAGTAAGCGCGTGAGGAAGAGAAAGAGAAGGAGGATGAATAAAGAAGAGATATTAGGCTGCGAGAGATTAACAAACCTCGATAATTAGTCCGAGTAAAAACACCTCACCTCATAATTTGTAGCTATTCTTTATAACCCGGCACATCGAGAGAGGATTTTACTGAGTCACGATATATGAAAAAAAATATTCCAATTTACCGGTACGTCACAGATTTTTAATCGTGGTTGGCGAAGAAAATGACCCAGTCGTGTGATTCAGACAGCCAATTAAAACCGACTCAGCCCCGTCGCGCTTCTCCCTTTACAGGACTTCACCCGCGACGAATCGGCAAGATCGAACGAGAGCGGAAGGACATTATCGCGCATCGTCATCGTCGCGTCGCGATGAATATTTCGGCGCAAAAAGGAATTATGACGTCGCGCGGCGGCCGGGCGGCGGTGACGTTGACATCCGGTTTGACATTAATTAACACGACGCGCAAGGCCTGTAACGGTCAATAAAGCTCGCGGCTTCGGAATGAATGATTAATGGCCTTGTCAATTACCATTTGTTGCTGGGCTTGTCCAAACGATTTTGCGCAATTATCATCGGCCCGTGCCCGATCGTCTATCCCGATACGCGCGGATAAATGAATACACCCGCGCATTGCCGCATCGAGCGCGTCCCGCTTTCTCTCTCTCTCTCTCTCTCTCACTCACTCACTCGCGCGCGCGAGTACACGCTCTCGCATGGTATAATGCGTTTTCATGAACATTCATATATCGTTTACCCTCGTTTATAACTTCTGCAGATAGCTTTATCCGCAGGGACAATGGCAATAAACTTCTGTTTACGACTCCGTTACTAATAGGCTCGTAGACAGAATCACTGCCGAATTTTCGTTTGTCATCGATACCGAAACCGCGTAGCCTCGTAGTGTCGCGTACGTCTGCCGTGCTGCTACTTCAACGAATTACACTTTATGCTTCCCCCTTCCCGAGTAAACATATGTCGCACCTGCGCATCTCTCTCTCTCTCTCTCTCTCGATAAAATAGAAATAAAAGTGCGATAGCTGTTGTATCGGATACATGCCAATTTGCAGTGTCGCGACGTTTGTTTTTCTAGACGTAGAATTGGAGTGTCTGGCTCATTGGAGGGAGGGCAGCACAAATTACATGGTCGCGCGTTTGCACAGCGATCGCAAAACAAACGACGAGGAGAGCTATAGATGCTTTATTTACACAAATCCATCGAACAACACGTGGTACCTCGCGCAGAGCTCGGACGCCGCCTGCAACGGATTGATCAGCGTCCACGAGGCTGCCAGGACATTCAAGATGACGCCAAGTGAGTTCTGTTTTTTTCTTCCTCCTGTTTTTTTCTTCCTCCCTCCCGTCTCCCCCCTCGCTCAAAGGTAACGTGTAAAAATCTAGGCGAAGCAAAAAACTTTGAGTTGATCGACGTGTCCGACTCGATTTTCAACGGATGACGTTACATACATGTGACACAAGTAATTTTTGATTAACTCAATGTATTTTATGGTTTCCTTTTTTTTTTCAATTTACGTCTAGATAAAAGAAACATTTTAACTCATTTAGACCATATTTGTTTTCATATCACGATACGTATAGTTTTTCGTACGATATGAGATATTTTTCAATATCAAATATAAATATATTTAAAATATAAACGTGTCGCAACTAAATCTGACATTCGATAACAAATAGCATTCGGTAACAAATAATATTCAAATGGAAACATTTTTAAAGTACCATTTATTCCCTCCCAGAAAGCCATAACGAGTCGGACTCGTTGTTTTCATATTTGGATTGATCGAAATTGTATTTGTGTATCGAACGAAAGTACATGTCACGAATCGGGCTCGTTGTCCGGCTATCATTGGATCAATATCGACGAGATAAATTGCTCAAAACATTCAGCGGATTATCGCCTCGCGCTGAGAAAAAAACGGTTGGAATCGGAACGAAATCGGTGGTCACCCTCAATTAGAAAAAATATTGGATCCGCTAAACAAATTGCGCGTTGGTGCAACAATACGTTGCGTTTGCGTTGATACATTGCGCCGATCAAATCGCAATCATTGAATATTGATCACGCATTACAGCAACTAGATAAATTTATTCGATGGACTAAACGTTATGCTTTAAAAAATGTTGGTCGTTTAAGCAAAATTCTGCCGGTTCTATTCATTTTTCATATTTTTTTTTCTTATTCCGAATGTTTTTATCATTTAAAATAGATATTCCGAATATCGAATAACTTTTTTTTCAGTATCTGTTCGTAATCCATTAATAGAAACATTACGAATTTTCACCGAGAAATATAATTCGGATATAAATATAAGTATGAAGGCTCTCGAAATTTACAAGCAAATAGCGATAAATCAGGTAAGAGCTAAGGCGCAGATGTTGCAGCGAGTAACTTAATGTTACAAATACCGCGTAAAATTTATCGAGCGCTATCGGTCTCCTTAAATTTAGACTCTCTCCTGCGCATATTACAGAGAAACATGAATTATTCATGAGAGGAATGCGCTGTTTTACTTTTACTCGATAATTATTATTACACAAAGACGGGTTTTGAGCACATCATCGGGTAAAAGTTAAAGAGACGAGATTCAAAAGTGAAAATCTCCTTTAACAAATCAATCATATATCTTAAGCTTCCGCGGTGCAGACAAATATTTGATGTGACTTTTGAATTGGTGCTGCGTCCTTCATGGATTTGTTTCCGACGTTTCGTGGACACTTCAGTTCGCCCCTCTAGGATGAGGGTGCGATCCGGAAAGTAAGATTTAATAAAACGGAATGTTTCGGGTCACACCTCACTCCTGAAGAAGGGAACTGGAATGTTACGGAACGTTGGAGGCGAATCCATGGAGGAAGGCGGCGCTAATTCAGCAGCCACATTACATTGATTCATCACAGATGAGGGTGTGTGCGAAACCGAAAAACAATACAAGATAACTTTGTCTTACCTAGCAGACATAATCACTTCGATCACTATCACTTCACTATCTTACAGTCCCCGGCCATATTATTAGACGCACCTTAATGTTTTACAATTCGTTGATTTCCGAGGACCAGCTTTATAATACGGCTCATCTATCGATCGAATTATGTTAAGGAATCATTATTCTGTAAAAGGTTTTTGTGACGTTTCATTTCACTCGGCTGTCCCAATGACTTTGAACGAGTATGAACTCACGCTGGTTGCATTGTTGATAATAACAGACGTGAATTTTAAGTGCGTGTGTCGATTGATGTATGATCGTAATTGAATTACGAATGTAATTTAATTTTTGTTTATTTACGGCTTGAAACTTCAAATTCCTTGCTTACCGACGGAAGAATAAATTTTTCTGAGAAAAACATCAATATTGTTTACAAAAGCAACGGGTAAAACAGATGATTCGACACCTCAGAAGGTTGCAGAAGCAAAAGCGCTGAATCGAGAATTGTTCCAATCGAGTAAACAGAAAATTCGTAAAATCAAAGTAAAATCAAGTAACATCTAATAACACATCCAGGAACTATGCGTTCGATTCCAACAGTACTCCACTCGGCGTCGCCTCGTTATTTTCAGTGGCGTCTACATCTTTGATCCTGCACGCGTGCAGGCCGTCTTCCGAAAGCGCATGAAAAGTCCTTCGTCCTCTAATTCAGCCTACCCGAAAGTGGAATATCTATCGTAGCGATCGCAGGGACGCCGGCCGTCGCGAAAGATCGGATTAACGATCGAAATTCTGCGGAGGCTGTTAGCCGATAGCGACGAGGCGACGGTTCGGCGCTTACATCCTGATCGCCGGCCGCCAAGGCAGGCGAGGCCCGTTAGAACGAGAGCACGTAAACTATGAGAGTGCCTGTGGACACCAGATCGGATTCTTGTCCGGCATACTATCGTGACCCGGTCCGTGGTCAACGCCAGGTACTTCGGGTATTCCACGGGTATCGCATAGCTACACGTAGCCCTGCCGGATCGGGCACGATCTTGTCACAGGGTTCACGGTTAACCAAATTGAGGCGACGGGGTTTGATCGCCGGTCGAACGGTGCGCGCGCGTGTCGCGATAGGAAGGATCGATACATGCTCGGAGGGTATCAAAGTCGAAAAAGCCGTTATCGAGAATATTCGCGGGTTAGCTTCCGCGATTCGCACTTGCTCCCGATTTCCGGTTCTATACTAAATCGCTCAACGCCGCCAACTCTCTTCTCGGCGCGTTGCGGAGACGCACGTCTTTGGTTTCTTGAATGTTGAGCGACCGGACGTCTCGCGAGTTAGGGGTATTTTAGTAAATTCTGTTTAATATTCATAAAAGAAACAATGTTTCGATGAGTATTATCGTAAAAAATTTATTATTAGTGTATTTATTATTATCGTAAAAAATATATTATTAGTGTACTCATTAACTGTACACGTATAAATTGTTTGTTGCATGATATAGCATATTATGTAATATAATAGCATAATATATGGCATAATTTTATATTACATTATATTATACAGGATGAACCATGTAACATGATCAGCTTAGTTTATTCTGCTGTTAGTGGACCGGTGGAAAATTATATATTTGTGTATAATTATGCATTGTAAATTTAATTTAATTATCTTAAAGCTCACTTTGAACCATATTGGGTTGGATTAAAAAATTGTCATTCGGTCCGCTAACAGCAGAATAAACTAAGATGATCATGTTGTTTGGCTCATCCTGTATATATTCATCGATTTTTCTAGATGAAGCATCAAGTCTGGTTGTATAAACATGCATATATATAATTGTAGTTTTTATTTCAAATGTATTGCAATACTAGTTATTTTGTTATTATATATAAATAAATATAGTCGAAGGAATTTTATGTAAAAATACGTTTTATACTAAGAAAACTATACATATGTGTATATATATATATATTTTTTTTAATTTATATATATGATATATCTTTTTTCTATATTATTATTTTTTCATATTCTTTCATATTCTAAGAACATTTTTATAATATGCCAAGAATATTATGTCAAGTGAACATATAACGTTAATAAAACATAAAAAAAAAAATAGTACATAACATTCTTAGTATATTATGAGAATATTATCTTAATATTTAATAACATTCATATAATATTTTAGGAATATTACGCGCTTACAGGGGTTACACGACGAGTGATCGCCGAATATCGAAAGGGTCGAGGTTGAATGAAAGATTACAGCTATTTTTCGTATTCATTCGGTTCTTCGAGTATGCGTATGTGTGTATTAAAAAAATCGTATCGCCGCTTCGTTACTTTGCCCTCTTTATTTGTTGCTTGCTCTCGCACAGCGGAGCGATAATAGTCCACGGGGATTCCTCCCTTCTCCACCATCGATATCTCACGGGGGTCATCGACATCTCGATGGCGATGTCGCAGATCGAGCGACCGTTGTCATCAGGCCTGTCATCGAGGAGAATCACGAAGCCGACACTTAATATCTCGAAATCGCGCCGCCGCCGTCGCCGTTACTCGAAGCAAATTCAACTCGGGCGTTAAGCAGCTTAAAAATTTTTCACCGGCACCACGGCGTCCCGGATGTTTCGTTAACCCCCTACCCCGGTTCCGCGTTTCCATTTAAACTTTCCAGGAGGCAGATTAGCCCCGGGATCTCGAGCTACGCCGGGCTTCTCGCTTCTCGAAGTGCCCCGCGTAGTACCGTGGATGAGGAGAGCGCGTTACTCGCGCGATAAATTCCGCTCGGCCGATATGTAAATTCTCCTCCCTCTCCCCCCTCCCGCCTTTCCCTACCAAACTCGCTGATGATTCTCCTCCGAGCAATGAGTGAATGACACGCTCGGGACGACAGCTCGCGACTTCGACTGGAACGTACGATTTCCGTCGAACGTTTGATCTTCTCGCCAACTCGAAAGCGAATGCGAAGAACATGTCGGGATATTTTTCTTAAACGACGAGAAGACGAAAAAATTGGTCTGAAAACGGGCGGGCGAGCGAGCGCGAGAGAGAGAGAGAGAGAGAAGAAGAAGAAGAAGACCGGCGACGACGTTTCCCGCGCGAGATAATATTTCCGCTTTGAATTTTCGTTCGCAGTTTTCAAATAACCGCCGACACCGGCGCTGAATTACAATCTCACCGAGGCAACGCAACGGTATTACATGCGGTCTGGCTGCAAAGAAAGATAAGAGGAGACGGGCGTAATTTACTTTGAACAAAGCATACATTTCTTCTCCCATTTCGCCGCTGGCGCGCGACTCATTTTAATATAGTATTTTGCCGCACGCTCTCCCCCTCCCCTCTTCGCTCGCGTGCTTTTCGCGCTGCGAAGCGCCGCCGAACAAGATCTACATTCCTTTCTCTCCGCGGCGATTACTTAACAACTCGAGACTATCGGCGCTACGATAATTCACGTGCATTAAATACTCGGCGGACCGAGAGAGGGAAGGGCTGGGNGGGGGGGGGGGGGGACAAGAAGTGCCGGTGGCGTAAAATCGAGCGCGTCAAAATAATTTCGCTCGCTAACTACCGCGCTACGCTACCCGCTGCAACAAAGGTGGAAGGCGCGAACTTGCGGGAAGAACTATAATCCGGAAGTTTGCCGATCGATTCCAAGTTCGTTCCGCTGTCGATAGCGTGCCGGCCCGAGGAATTGATGTAATGCGAACGGCCATGAATATGAAAAAAATCTGCCCGACGACGACGGGATGAGTCCTTAATTGGGGGTGAATCTCAGCGGATGTCCTTCCGTCGCAAACAACGTTCTATCGACAGCGCGGTTCGCATAATTAAACAATTACGCAGATTCTGCGGACTTTATCTCCCTCCTCCCTCACTCTCTCTCTCTCTCTCTCTCTCTCATACTCTCAGTATCAGTGCTGCGCGATAAGCAGCGCAATTTCGGCGGACTATAGCGTTACAGCGCGCACGCACACACCCGATTGAATTATCGATTAGCTTTTAGTCGCACGCAGGCCGGGCGTATGTAGTATGCACGTGGCATACTTTGTCGCTCGTGCATTTTTAACGGTCCATTAATTCGCGCACGGTGATTGATAGCCGTGGGCGGCCGACCATTGACAGGATAACTGTTCGCCGGCGACGGACTTGTCACGCGTTTATGGCAAATTATTTGCGTCGATGTAACCCGCATGCTGACGCCGCCACCGCGCGACACATCGTCGTATGACGGCACTTCGCTATTTTTTCAGCCGGTGTAATTTTCAGCCTGATGTTCTACGCGCGTTTCAGCGATTTCAGCGGTTTCGACCCCTCTCTTTTTCGCCCCCTTTCTCACTCTCTCTCTCTCTCTCTCTCTCTCTTTCTCCTGGAGTGTATATTTTTTTCACGATCGATATCATTCTTACGATTTGTGACGCTTTCTAACATTTTTCTAGATTAGTTAGAGATTTTTCTAATATCATTGTGATGTTACTGTAGTATCAAATAATAACCTTACGCGCATACTGTCTTGGGTAACCAGGATTTCAGTCAAGAAAACGCAAAAATTTACTTTCATACGAAACTTATTAGCTTGTTATTATTTTCACTTATTAATTTATTATTTCATGCTTATGTCAAAGCCATTCTTCACGAATCTTCAAGTAAGCTTTCCGCATACTTACATTGATTCCAAACCTGCCGGGGTTACACTTGCTCTCTAAAAATTCCCGAGTGCCCCTCGTGTTGCGCGACAAGCGCGAAACTACTCTATAATATTGCGAGTAATACTGATATCGCGAATGACTACTCTAATAATATCCGTTGCGAATTATAGATCGGCCGAAGTAGACCTCAGCAATGATAACGGAAACAGTTGTGGATCATTATCGCAACAATGACAATGCGCTGCATACGCGAATTACGCGCTGTACTATATGCATAGCGTGCGTTAATGAGGCTAATGAGTTGGTTAATATACATCACGTTCCGTATGACGTATGTTGCCCCGCGGCGGGTGTAATTGTGCCAGTTACGATCATAACGTCGTTAAAACGCGTATTGTAATTAGCGTACCGGAATTCCGGACGAAAGAGTCACCTCGCGTTTCCGTTCGATTTTATCTCGCTCCCCACCCCTCCCCCACCCCTACTTTTCTCCTTTTTCTTTCCTCTTTTCCTCCCCCTTTTTTTTTTTATTATCCCGGACTCATTGACGGAGCGTGCAGTACCCCGGTAATGCGCTGGAAACAGCCGGCACAGCCGGGAAAACGAAGTTTACAATGCAGGAGAAGAGAGGTCAAAGTTTACTTATGCCGGATTATCTGCTCGAGGACCCCGTGAACTTAAAGAGAGTTCGGGGAACGAGTTTACAGTTATATTATGCATTTCGAGTTTGAAATAACTACGTTAGGGCGAGGGAAGTTACCGGCGCTCTAAGAATAAAGGCCGCGGCTATTTCTTGACACGTAATTACATTTGAATTTAACAGTCGTCCGAATCTGCCAGCTCGGGGATGAAAATTACAGGAATTAAACTGTTGGCGTCGCCGGCAATAATCAACTTTGCGGTCTTACTCGCTCGTTACGAGCCGCCTTCGTTTCTCGAAAAATATCCCGAAATATCCCCCCCCCTCCCCCTACGTAATTGCGAGTGCCAAGACTGCGAGCTTCGGGTGCGAATTGTTAAACTTTTAATTCTACAGCAGGAGCCAATATAATAAAACTGGTTCAATTTCAATTCTAACAATATAATATAACCTCTATTTTGATTCTGATGATGTCTTAAATTCCCGTTTCCGTTGTTTTAGCGTTAGAATGACGGAAGGTAGCGTTAAAATTCAATCTGTACAATTAAAGGTTCAAAAGAGAAGTTAAAGAATCAATATCGTCGTAGTAAGTTTTCACTAATCTATAGGGCGTCTAAGTAGTCGCAAGCTATGTTTAAGGGCGTCGGGGGTGTGTCGAAATTTCGGGTCGTCTCGCATTTTTCGAACGTTGCTTTTCCGCACGAGGCGCCGATGAAAATCCGGAGAGACCGGTTTCGCGAGTACCCTGGTAGAAAACGAACCTCGTGGGTGTCCGACCACAAGACGGTAAATTTGTGTCTAACGTCGTTACTACTGGCCAGTAATGTAACGCTGGCTTCTCCCAGTGGCTGGATAATGGCTGGATAATTAAGTTAGCTGATGGTTAAATAAACGAAATTACAGTCACGACATGAAGAATCGTGACTAAACTGTAACGCTCTCACTTTTGCTTGATTAAATTTTCGCACTTTTTTAAATAACACACCCTCGATTTTGATTCGCTTCCTCGTTAGCCCGACCGGTTGTATTTTTATTCGGGTAATTTCAGCGTTTCGGTCCGACCGAACCGTAAATATCGCGAGAGCTCTCCTCATCGAGACTGTCAACGACGGGGATGGCGATGAACAGAGGGGATCCTCTCACCACGGCCATCTTTTCACGTTACAGAGGAGCCACCGCAGCATTGCTCCTATCCGTCCTGGGTGGTGGCCGGTAAATCGTGGGTGGCTTTGGACCGAATGGCTTCCCGTCTCCTGGCGTCGCCTTACAACATCACGATCCTCGACCGGAACGAGACCCGCCTTGTTTGCCATTCCGCTGTCACCATTGATGATCATCGTCATCACCATTCCATGCCGATCGATAGGGAGAACCAACGGCAGTTCGTCGCGAAGGCGACGCGAGATTGGTGAGTCTGTTTATCTACATTTGCGTTAGCCGCGCGCAGGAGACGGAGCGGAAATACACCGAACCGAAATCTGTCCGCAGATAGACGGCAGATGTACGGAAATTCGGCAGATTATTCGCCGATGCGTAGAAATTATATTCCTTATAAGTGCTTCACGTGACGCTCGTGTTTATCACGTGGACTGACGAAGTTGGTGCGCGAAAGGAATTAGCGGGATTTACTCGAACGAGCAAACTTAAACTCAATTTTTTATGCATCTTCGTCATATGACCGTAATTTTAACCGGCACCGTCGGATCCTTCGTCTCAAGAACTATGAGAAACAATGTCCATTTTCCTTTTCTCGAGCAAAATTAAGCCTTTCCATAATATTCTTCTTTTTGTCTAACATAGCAATGATATATCGCTCATTTTTCCGAAGTGATTAAATAAATAAATTAACTGATGGTTGAGCGTAAGAAATTACAGTTTTAAATATAATAGAAAATCACAGTTACCTAGCTTGTTTTTTTTAAAGATTTTTCTGAAATAATGTAACCTCAATTTTGACTTACTACTTAATTTTAAAACGTTCCAATGGTGCTACATAGTAGCTAGATTATGCTTTAGAACAGACAGCGCCATCTGCTTTATCATATTTGATACTTAATAACTGGATAATGATTACATCGCAAAATCGATTCTACATTGTAGCGAGTAATCAGCTGATAACGAGAATTGGTAACGAGCTAGAAAATTTAATCTAACCTGTACCAGATAGCTGCTAGCTTTCGGCTCAGAGGCCGGCCAGTTACATTTCTACTCGGATAAATTGAATAATTAATTCAATGCTAGTATATTTGCTCCATAAGTGTAATTAAAAAATTGACAAATTTCCGTCATCGATCGTCTCACGTGATGATCACGAAAATCTGTGTGGTTTCAGACGATCTTTATATTTAAATCGTTATACGAATTCGGGATCAGAAAAAGAGAGGACGATAATGTTCGAGGATTTCTGCACGTATCAAACGCGGCAGTCCAGACTTACCTTCCAAATATCTCCTCGTATATATCCGAGCGGCTCGAAAAATGTCGAATGTTTGCATTTTTCAGCTGAATTACACTATTGACTTTATGAAGGTGTCCCTTTTGAAAGATTTTTGAAAGAAATTATGGGAAATTCCCCATTTCCAAAGATGGATATGCAACACTATTATTACTGCCTCCATGTTGCTCGTCATCGCTAATCGGCATTTTCGGGCAATTTTTCGCCAACAATTTTTCCTCTTTTCTCGCCTACAAAAAAAAGACTACAGTAGATATTAAAAAAATTCTCAATCACAAAGACTAGGCGATCTTACTAACGATATATGCGAAACTATAGCTGAATCGGTCCCGACAGGTTCCCGAGACATTGTGTGCGATTAGCGATGACGAACTTTGCGAGGAGCAACCGTGATAACAGCGTTACAATTAACTTTTTGTAACAGGCTTCGTGTAATACGTAAATAAAACTACGAAGAATCATCCTTCGGCGGGTCACCTTCGTAAAGCCAATAATGTAGTCAGCGGAAAAAAGCAAACACCGGGCGTTTTTCGAAGCTCTCGGCGCGTATGTGGCCCGTTAACGCGATCATGCGAGAGATGTCGGAAACACGAATGGAAATTACGGAGGGCACTTGAACACGGGTCCCTCTCGCTGCGCGTTTCAAAGAACATTATTAGAGCGTGTCCATAGAGCACTCGACGATAGAGAGAGAGAGGGAGGGAGGGAGCGCTTCGTTCGTCGCGGCACTTGGCGAGGGATAATTTCGCAGTTGACGAAAACGAGTATAATTATCAGAGTGGCGCGTAATATGATAATCGCGAGCTCTCGCGCTGCGGCGCGCGTAAATAAACGGTATGAACCTCCACTTTGGTCTGCGGAGCACCACCTTTCCCGGCTACGTGCACCAGAATGTCAATATAGGTGCACCCCCAGGTACTCTCTCATTAAAGCATTCGTGCGGGCGAGTTCGCGCGACGTAACGTATCGCTTTTAATCGCTCGTGTACATGTACATGGCAGAGAGAGAGAGAGAGACCCGGTTCGGTTATTCGCGCCCCACCGCCGCCGAGAATACGATTCATCGTTAAAAGCCGGGGATAAAAGTGTTTATTGGAACGTGTTCGCCGAACATATCCGCGGGAACACGCTAAAGTGCTTACTACTCGCCGAGGCGCGCGGAAGAATCGGCCCAGAAACGCGCCAGAAGGTCGATACGATATTTTTTTCCTCTGCCGCCCTTCTGTATTTTTACTCGCTCGTCCGTTCCGCAGAGTTAAAGCGCGACCGAACGGCTTTCGTCGTTTCGCGTCCGGCCGTAATTTCTTACGTCGTTTCTCTCTATCTATCGTGAGACACGCGGATTATCCAAGAGAGATTCCCTCGATTACGAGCGGAATGCATGTTTCAAATTAATTATTAGGTTATCTATTAAGATAGATGACGAGGCGGGCAAGATGGAGGTCTGATAATTTTTCTAAACTAATAACATACGAACAAATCAATTCGTTAGTGATTTTTAATAATGGATAAATAATCGTTGTGGTTTGACTTCAATCTGTCAGCAACGGTGGATAATGTGATAAGAAATATATATTTTGGGTACCTTGTAATTTTGTGGTATTCCTCCGTATGGAATTATAGTAAATATTTTCACTTCCTCTACAAAGCTACTGTACAGGATGTCTGAAACCTTCTTCAGGATCCGTAGTGTTTTATCGTATTACACAGACGTTATAATAATAGAATAATATAGAAAGTTTACGAAAATTATATATATTTCTCATATGTATGTAAAAATATTTATCTTTAACCTTCGTCATATTATCCACATATGGGGATAAGATGAGGAAATTGACGCGTTCTTAAAAAAATTTAAATTAAACCAAATCCTACTTTATTTGTAAATTTTTCACTTTATACAGATGATAGGCGAGGTTTTAGCTACTCAGAAAAAAATGATCATTACTTCTATATTACCACAAAAATGAGGAAAAATCGACGAATCTTAAAGGTAAGATCGTCATCTTACCTCTTTCTCATTTCTATATAAAACGGTTTGAAGAGGAGGAAGATTCAGACGAAGCAGAGAGAGAGAGAGAGAGAGAAAGAGAGAAAAGTACGCGAAAATCTACCGTTACTGTTTGATAAAACGCAATTACGCGTCCGACGGGCGCACCCTGGTCGCCTTCGTTCGTAGCCGAGGAGAAATTCGGTCAAGCGTAATTTCTTGGCGATTAATATCCTCATTTAGGGAGGCAGGGAGAATAATGTCGCGGTAGCGGCGCGACAGCTGCTCGAAGAATTCCAGCACTCAGATGCCGCGGTAGTAAAACGATGGGCAAGAGAAAGAGTCGCTCTTTCCGACGTCCGTAAGAGACGTCCGACGTCCGACCAGGCGCGGGATCGTAAATAGGATCGTTCCGAGTGACGCGCGCGTTCCGATATCGTTTCCCGTAATTTTCCTCGTGCCCGGAGTATCCGAGTTTGACGACGATTGTGCGTCACGCGTGTTGCGTGTTGCTTGTTATTGCGTCATACCGTGTGCGACAGTCGCGGATTAATTGCCGAGTTGCGTAACGTTGCGATCATTAACATCGCGAAAATACGATTCTCTCGCCGAGCGTGTCTCTAAGCTAAGCGACACACCCGAAACATTTAATTCTACGACACAGCGGGAGTTAAGGTAGCAAAATAGCTTTGTAATTTCAGTTCTGATAATATAATTTATTTCTACCTTGACGCCGATGGTGTCTTCAATTCCCGTTTTCGCCGTTTTAGCGCGAAAATAAGCCGTTCAAAGCTGCGCTAGAATTAAATAGAATCGAAAGTACAATAGGGAAATTAATAAATTTCAATATCAATTTCATCAAAGTAGTTTATAAGCAACTTATGTAGCCGCAGATTATCCTTAAGAATGTCAAAGTAGCGTCGAAATGTCGACCAATCAAATTGATCAGAGAGGCCGTATCCGAGTCGAAAATTTCAATTCTACGTTCTTCAAAATGGCGAAAATGGAAATGACTTCCCACTTGTAGCATCAAAGGAGCACAATGGACGGCCTTTGAAGACACAATGTAGAACTAAGCTGGACTCAACGTAGGACTAGCATTTCGAAGATACGCGCGCGCGAGTATTGCGCGCGTATTGCGTTATTAGTAACGCATATATTAGTAACGCACCTCGGAAACCGCGGCGACACTCGAGGACATTCTTTTACGCCGCGCCGACAAATGCCGACGATAAAAAAGCGACGTGTCCTCTCGACTTGCGTCTTATTCCGCGAGACTCCCCGACGCGCTCTTCATTCCGCAAGGGGTTTTATTATCCTCCTTACAATTCTTTCAGCTTGATGCGCGGCGAATAATTACCGCGGAGGGCGGCGGGCATCGACGTTAAGCGTTTTCTGCTCTCGCAAGCCGCGAGACTTGAACGCGCGACAGGAAAACGCCGCGCGGAAAATGAAAGAAAGAAAGGGGGAGAAGGGAATTTAATTCTTTTTCCTCCTCGATTAGAAACGCGACGTCGTTCGCGCGTCCGAAAGTGTTTCCATCGTTCGCCGATTCACGTTCCCTCGACGTCTGCGGAATGAATAGTAAAGATGCATAATTACGAACGATTCGAGAATAAAACGCAAAAATTGCCCGTTCTATTCTTCACGACGGAAAACAGAATTTTCACTTGCGGACGTTAACAGTTTCTTCAAATGGGAGATCAATCTACGACTTATGCGCTCTTATGTCCAGGTAATTTCGATTTTTGCGCCGCAAGCGTTAAAGGGCTTCTCCCGATGACAATTATTTCGTCTAATAAACTGGAAAGGGTTGGAGGATGTGAAACTTCACTTAATGCAGCTTAATGTTTCACCAACCGCAATTTAATGTCTACAACTTTAATCTGAAGTAATTGTGCTCACTTATGTATTAACATTTGTGTAATAACAACCATTTTAAGTTATTTTATTATTAAATTGAT